TCGCGTCTCTTTCCTTCCCTTCCTTCTAAGTTTATTGCTCTTATGACAGAGAGAAAGACAAGCTCCTTCAAGAGGGTCTCACACTTCAAACTTCCCCTGAGCAGTCTCAGCATAGAGGATGGGCATACACCTCAGCATGTACCAGTCAACCCAGGAACCGAGTCCCAGTCACCCGTGTGGCTCCATCATGGCAGAGCAACACGTGACCTGGCTGCACCACTGCAGCTGGGTTCCCTGCATTTGTTCCTTCCTCTCTTCCTCTTTTCTTGGCAAATTTAAAAAATTCGCAGAAGTATGATGGCGTCATTACTTCATGTTCGTATATCCAGGATGGAAGCTTTAGCACTTTCTGTCCTTTTGTTACAAATCTCTTTTCTTTTAATAATAATAATAATAATAATAATAATAATTAAGAAAACAGTTTAGCAGTTGAATAAAATAAATTATTGAACAGTTTCAGTTTCTTCATCCCAGACTTAATTTCTTTTCCTAAGGTGACTTTCAGTCATGTTCTTTTTTATACTTTACATATATACTTGACTGTGAATACTATGTGGTATTGTTTTCTGTGAATTTGTATAAAGTTTGCATGTTTATTTTTTGAGGAAGAGAGAGAGAGAGAAAGAGAGACCCTCGCAGGGTCTTATCATGCTGCAGTCCTACTTCTAGCTTTCTGGACAGCCAGGACGGCAGAGGCACTCATGATGTACCTGGCATGTTCAGGTCAACCCAGGACCTGAGCTCTGAGCCTTCACATGCAGCTTCTGTGTGGTGCAACAGCACCCTACTGCCTGCACCACTGTGACTGGGCCAGTTTTCTGTATATTTTTAAAAGTTCACATACATTTAAAAATATTATTTATACCTATCAGTAGGCAAGTTTGCTTATTTTTATTTCTCATTTAGCATGGAGAGCTCATTCTGGTCCTATAGATCTGATTCATCTAATTTATATACTTAACACAACTTATTCTCTAAAATGTGTGTTTATTGATGGATACCTGGGTTGTTTCCAGCTTTTAACTCCATTACAATGAATACTGTGATATTCTACTGACCACATGGCAGTGTATATTCTTGTATCTGCCTCTTGTGTCCACGTTTGAGAATTTCTCTTGGGCAAATACCTAGAAGTGGAATTGCTGGGCCACGAAAGGTGCCGATTTATCATTTTCCAGGATACTGGCCAAGTGCTCTTCAAAGTGATTATACCAATTTATACTCCCTCCAACAGTGCAAGAGAAAAGTCCCATATCCTCAGAAACGTTTTATAAGCCAGGCTTTAAACATTTGTCAATCTAGTGGGAGAGGAATGGCATATCTTGTTTTAATTTGCATTTTAGATTCCTTGTAAGATGAGTTTTTTTGTTTCTTGGCCAGTGAGGTTTCCCTCTGTGAATTGCCTGATATAAATGTGGCTGGTTTCTTTTCTACCCCATGTCTCCTCACTTAGTGGTAGCTAAGGAGAGTTTCTCAGGGGGTAGATTTCATGAGCAGATTGTAGCTAGCAACCGTATTACGAACATCTCTAAAGTTGGTAGTTTATGAGAGGGATTTCTTGGACTCTATTCCAGGAGGAGCATTTGTTGACATTTTAACCCAACTCTTCTGTTGGTGTTTCCATTTTGACCAGAAGAAAAATTTATTTATTTTTCTAGGGCATTCC